GTCTGCCTAAAAACTTGTGTGGCTAACATCCTGAACTCATATGTCATTATGTTTGCAAGTACAATACCAGTGCATTTAGCTGAGTATCAGCTACTGTAAATTTCACTGCCTTATTATGTAATGCATATTAGTGTATTATTCATATTTATATTAATGTACATTATATGAAAGCAGAAATAGGGTCGAATTTTTTCCATGTACACTTTCTGTTTCATGCAACATTCTCTGTTTTTGAATTATGTAAGCAAATCTGGCCCGAACACCTGAATGGTCTTTCTTCAGTCACTTCTTTCCTTACAGTTTTGAAATGTTGTGAATCTACAGGACTCTTTAAAGATGTTTCTTTCCTTGTTATCATGTTGTTGTCTTGAGCGGATGTTTCTTACAGCAGCACTTCTACCAGAAATCCTAGTAGTTATCATTCTAGGTGTTATAAGATAGCTGAGGGAATTTTTTTTCATATTTTTCTTTGACAAATATTAATGAACTGCAAATGAATTAGTGTATAGTGGCTGTTCTCTGTACTTTTACAACAAGGAGTGCTTCGTGAAAATGCAAGTAGCTGTGGGATGGAACTTCTCTCTTGGCCCAGTGCATTTTCTTTAGCCTTTATACTACAAAAATTGTTTCCATAAACTGTGAATTTCTGTTCTTGACAAGGATTGATGGGCTAACTGTTAACATCTTGGTGTGCTGCATTATTTATATGGAAGACTTGAGTTCCTTTTTTTCAGGTTGTCCTTTGCTGTCAAGTGAAGGATTGCATTCCTCAGTCAAGAATCACACAATTTTTGTGGCATTTTGTAGGACAAAATAATATGTTATATAAAAGCTTAAAGTTCAACAAAGACTGGGTTTACAGTTTTTACCCAGCTCCTCACCACTGCTTGCTTGTGGAAAGAAGCAATTCAGTATTTTATTGAAAAGGATGTGGTTTAAGAGTGGTTATGTGAAGGTACATCATGGAGTGAAATGGACTTAACAGTTCTTCTCCAAGTGCTTCTATAAAAGAGATCCAGGTTCATTGATTGAGTTATTCACTAAGGACAAAAACATTATGGTCTTAAAAAAAAATTCTAGTTGTTATTAGAGAGCATTTTATTTGAGTTTTGCTATATAGTTTTTCCTGAGTTTGGAGAATTGGGGGGAGGGGGTGTCTTAATTAAAATTCTAATTTTTGAGTATGTGTGGATCTCCACTTTAATTTTATTCTTTTTGTCACGCTCTTTTTATTCTTAACCAATTGCTGTTTCCAAAGAGAGGATGAACAATTCACTCGAGGATTTATTTGACTTAAAAAGTTCTGAAAAAATAAACAATGTGAGGAAAAATACTAATTAAAAAAAAAAATCCCCCAAATTTAGTATACTCTGATCCTGGGAATGTTTTGTCTGCCCCTCAATACAGTAAGTTCTGTGACAATGCAGATTGCATTTCTGCCTGTCTCGTGTTGGCCTTTTTAGCCACCAGTGTGCTTGTAACAAACGTGGGTAGAGCCCTTCCCAAATCTTCGTTTGTGAAGCCTAGCCATGAGTGAGTGAGTGAGTCCATGAATTATGTCATCAAAAAGGAGGAAAAGTGTATGTATATACATACATAGTTTAATCTATAAAATAAATTTCATATATAACATTGATTCAAAGCAAACATTCCCTAAAAGAGGTAAATTCAAAGTGATTATGATTTCTACCAGTCTGGGGGCAAAAAGGTGAGGGTGTGTGAGCTCATCCTTCACTGACTCTGCTCCACAAGTCCCTGCACTGACTCTCAGTAGCTTTGATGCAATGAGGTTTTACTGTCTGAGAATTTCCCAGGGATGACATGAAGGCAGCAATAGCTGTAGCACATGGTTAATGACAGTCTTGAGACACACTTTTACACTTGAGTAACCACTTAATGAAAAGTGAAGGGTTAGTCAGACATAGGAAAGAAAAAGTATGAAATATTGTTTTTATTTGACACTTGCATCTTACTGGACTCCTTTCAGAGTGTCTTAATTATGTACAATAATAATTTTTATTTTTTTTTTTATTTTTAATAATTGAGTTTCTTTTAGAGTGTTTGTTTAATTTACAGAAATTTGTCAAATTACACAGTCTGTTACAGAAATAGCACATTGCCTATCACTGCAGAAAGTCATCAGCACAGAGCACAGTTCTGTAAGAGCTACTGTAAAGGATATATTTCTTTGAGTTTATTTTATTCTTCCATTCACGATGGTTCTCATGTGAAATTCTAAAACCATTGTTGTGTTAAAAGCTGTGTTGCATTTTAATGGTAACAAATCCCTTCATCAGTTGTGTTAAGACAAAGTGCATCCATATAAGCTCTTCTTATTAAGAACAGCCTTCAACATCAAAATCTGTTCATCAAACTCAGGGGAATGTGTAACAAATTAATTTCAATATTTCAACATGAACATCCTCTCAATAGGCACAAAATGTAAATCAAGGGGAATATTGTTGATTCAAAGATGATATTTATTTTGTTCAGCACAATTTCACAGACATTAAGTTATATGTGAGGAAGATAATATTTTCTGTGATTTTTTACTAATCTAAGTATCAAAATTTGCACAGCCTCATACCTTGTCTTAACTAGAATTGTACAGCTTCTCATTTTTCTGACTGCAAAATATTTGATTTCATACCATGGTGTATTTTAACCATTCCCTCTTTAGTCCTGTTTAGCATAGTGAGACAGGCCAGGCAATTTTTTTTTTGTTGGATCCTTTTGTCCCTTGCGTTTTCTTCCTTTTTTTGTCCCATTGTGTTTAGATGTGTGCTGTATTCATATTATTTCTCTAGCATGATATAATGTCATTATAAAAATTACGCCCATGAATGACAATCCAAGGTGGTGTGTCTAAAGATCAGTTAGTGCAGTTATTTCCTGAACAAGGAAATAAATGACTGTTGACAGAGGACAGCCTCTGCTTTATTAGTCCCAAACTGCAGGTCGGGTCACTTTATTTCAGATTGAAAAAGCCAGCATGGATTTTCAGAAAAATGAAAACTACGCAATTAAGTGTGCACACTTTGGTCATTGTAGGAGATTTCAGTTTCTGGAAATATAGTGGAAAACTGAGTATGCAATCTGCTTGTCAATTAATATAAAATTTACAAATGGAAAAAGTATTTTTCTTTTTATCTTCCTTTTTTTTCTTTTTTTTCTTTCTCAATAGCATAATTAAAATCAGAAGGACACTGAATTGGGAAATACGTAGCAAATATGTCCTCTCTCATTTTAATAAGAATATCCATATGGATTTGCATAATAAGTGTTCCTGCTCCAGATGCTGTTTAGTTTATTAATTTAATTAGAGGTATGGGAATATAGTTCTCAGAGCATTTGTTTGATATTATCTGTTCTTTCACAACCAAATGTCTAAGTCCCATAAAGGAATAAACAAGCATCCTTTGCTACCTCAATGATGCAACAAAAGGAGAAAATGAAAAGTCTTGACTTATCTAGATTTAGTTAGGAAGACAAATAATGTCTGATCCTTAGACAGGTAATGTTTTATGTCCTTTACTATTTTCAAATAGCTTTACTTCTCTGTCAGCTGGGCAGTCTTCAAGACAAAACTGTTAATTCCAAGTACGTAAGCACATTACAATTCTCTGTCTCACAAGGGCAGATTAAAGCAGACAAATTAAAATTAAATAAAACTAAAAGTAACCCAGAACAACTAAGGTTTTTTGCAACTGATGCACAGAATTTGTAAAGGCAGTTTCATATGTCAATTGCATTTCTCAAGTGATTGTTAAAATTGAAGCACTAATCTGAAGTTTATGTGCCAGAAAGATGTTGAAATACTGAGTTCCCTTACCACCACTATAGTCCAAAACATGCTATACTGTCAGTACTACTCACATAAACAAGGGAATTTTTCTAACTCTTTTCAGTTACATGGCTAAAGGACTGGCAACTTTTCAATTTAAAAAGCATGCAAAATAATGTACTTATTTTTTAATAATTACCAGATCTTTCTTTCAGATGCATTTACTGTACAAATTATTAGTATTTCTAAAAGCAATGCTGAGCAATTGAGAGTACAAATTTGTCTTCTAAAACGAAGTTTTAGTTAAATAAAAATGCATCTAAATACATGTTTGATTATCTAAGAAAAAGCATTAAATTGAAACTGAGCAAAGTCTAGGGCATTCTTTAGGATTAATTCCACTTATCCTATTGGTGTGAGGATTCAGTCCTGCATTTCTTTGTATTTGTAGAATTTTAAAGCAACCCTGTGATGCATCTTTAAGGATTTGCATCTGTTGATTACTTTGATGCTAATTGAACAACTGATGTGAAACATAGCTTTGTTTATTTTTATTTTTTTCTGCTTCTGCAGTCAAAATGGATTATGGAATAACTTGTCAGACTTCTCTGGGACATGGAGGGCATTGCTGAGGGGCACTGAGGGACTGTGGCTTCTCAGGTTCTTTTGCCTCCATCCCTGCAATGGAGTTGGTGGGTCTGCTGGCCTGAATTCAGTGGCTGATATGAATCAAAGCTGTGCCACTGGGTGACTTCAGGGTGTGTAAATGTGGAGCACATGGTGATGTAACCACAGTCACAGTTGTTTGCTCACAAACCAGGTGATAAGCCAATAGCCTGAATTGAAATCACCTCTCAGCTTTACAATGAAGAGAAGTAAAATTCTGGGTAAATTGCTTTCCGAGGCTATATACATGCCTTTACACAAGAGAAAGCAAAAGATTACCTTTTGCCATTGTATTTGTAAGTGAATAGCTGTCATTGAGTCTAAGGAAATGAAATTTTATGAAATGGAAGACTAGGGGAAGATGATTACACAGAGGTGTGCTGTTAAATAAATATAAAATTGGATTAGCCAGAAGTTATTCAAGGGACATAGACTTTCTCATTCCTTTCTCTTCTTGGCTACAAGTAATCTGCCATATGTGGAGCTTGTGCATAACTTTTGGTGACTTTTATAACAATAACCTTGTTTTTTCTTCCCCTTTATCCCACAGCAGATGTGTGTGACTCCAACCCCTGCCAGAATGGTGGCATCTGTCTATCAGGGCTGAGTGATGATTTCTACTCCTGTGAGTGTCCTGAGGGTTTCACAGACCCGAACTGCTCTAGCCTTGTGGAGGTTGGTAAGTGAAAACTTTAAACTCTGAAATAGTTGTTTTAAATACTCCATTAATCTGTGACTGCCCAACCAGTGATCACATCCATGGCATTTTCTATGGCAATGGGTTCATTACATTATTCATTATTGTTTGTTTAACCTTACATCTGCATCATAGATATCTACATAATAATCAACAAGCAGTTAAAACAGCATTTGAGACTATCTGTAGAACTCAGGAAAGTTCAGTGCTCTACTTCACAAAAAGATCATAGTGGTGTCCCAAAATGTCCAATGTTTCTCAAAGATCAATATAAATAGATACTCCTGTGTATCCTCCTGCAGCCAATGGCTATTTAAAGTGCCAATTCTGATAGTTTTATGCCAATGTCCAGAGTAAAGATTAATTACTTAAACACAAGAAGTGACAGCAACAGCACAGGAGAAAACAGAATAACACTTAGTAGACACTTGTTTGAATTTCAAAACAGTTACCCATCTGGAGCCTGTAATTAATCATTAGACGAGTCCATAGAGTGCAAGGCAAATGTACAGAAATTCTGTGATATGCATTTGACTCAGAGTAAACCTAAATATGAGTGTTAGCTCCAAAACACCTGGCAGGTCGGGTGTTTTCTTAAGAAAACTTAAATCAAAATTTAAGGAAAAGATGGTAGACAGATCATTGCAAGTTGACTGAATTCTTATATTACCCCAAAGATGTATATGGAGCAAAATGCTTAAAATGTCACAGCTGGGCTCAGCACCTCTCTAAGGTTGCAACTGTCCTAAATCCGTGCGGTTCTCATTTTTTAATAAATAAATAAATTCTACACAGGCACAACCTGAATATGATGCTCTGAGGATTAAGTATATCTATATCATGAGAGACAGTAAGCAGAACTCAGTCCAGGAACGCAGGGTTATTCTGTTTATGGGGTTTTTTGGGGGTTTCTTTTCTAAAAATGATGCTACCACTGTTCTGAGAGTGAATTCTAAGTCTCCACAATGCAATTTTAAGGAAGTTTGGATTTAGTTTGATTTGCCTGAAGATAAGCTTTCTACAAACAAATGGCATTAATTCCTGTGATTGGCCAACTTTTGTCAGACACCACCTGCACTTTTTTCTGTCTCTAAAATGTCACTGTATCTGGTTACTATCTAACATTTGAATTGCACAAGAAAGTGCTTGTTCCCTTAGTGCAGCCATACAAGAAGCCAGAAGATACTGCAACAAAATCCCGTTCTCCATCCCTTTCCCTATCATTTTTATGAGTGCTTGAAGTGCCTGAAATTATCCTACAGGTGTAGGTCATACTGCCTTAAAACGGCCTTGACATGGCTTTACTTCAGGAAACTTTTGGATTTATTGTGTGCTTGGTTGGCAGGAAATTGCATTGCACTTAACTGGGAGGATGGCATGAGTGAATCTCAGATAAAAGGGTACTGTGAGAGTTGCCACCGTAATTAACAAATGAGTATTAACAGGGCTTTAAAAAATACACAGATACTTGACTAAAATCTTAAGCACTTCAGCGACAACTCAGTTTGGTAAACAGAGTAAAGCATAAGTAAACACATTGACAGTATGTGGTAATCACAGCACTTACACAGGCAGGATGTTGCATTTCTAGTTTGAAATCCATAGGGAATATCTACTGAAAAAGACTGATTAAGTAAAGAACTTACTAATATTTCTATATTAACTAAAATCCAAAGTGTTGATGTAGCTTCTGTTTGTCTTGTGTGATTATGCTACATGTATGGATTCACAGTCTAACCTCGTTAAAAACTTTAAAAATAAGTTTTGAAATATTCTCTTACTTTTTAGTAAAAGGGTATTCAGCATTATGTTCCTCTAGGGAGTCATATAAGTCATGGAAAAAATGGTGTTTTAAGATAATATTTTGATTTTTTCCTATGAAAATGATGGTGATAAATGTAAGCTATTAGTAAATTATACTCTGTTAATTGAAACATGGGACTGTTTCAAGTAAAATAACCTGTTGAAAGGTGGGTCTGTGAGGAGTCCAGGAGTGCCAGACCCTGAGTGATCACTTTTAACTAGGAGTATTTATTGGATGAAAGATTTAAGAAGGAATGCTCTCAAAGCAAAGTGTTCTCTGTGCCCCCCTCATTAGAGACTCCACTATTGGACTTTATTCAGCCCTGATGATAGGATATAATGTTGATCTCTGGACACCAGCTGGAAAGTCACAAATTTTCAAGGGACATACCTTAAAATATGAGGATTTCACAGTAAAAGACAACAGGGATTAATTAATGCATTACTCATGCAGTAATGTGGGTAAATAAAAGGAATCCCATTCAGATAGGAAGTTATGAACTCATGTAAAGGCTAAATAGATTAACAAAGACTAAAGACAGTTTGGGAGCTGTATGAATAGTTCAAAGTCTGAAAATGTAGCTCTCCTTTGCTATCTTAATAGAACTAAGATTTAAAATAATCTGACCTGATCATAATACCTTATTTCAGTCTAAGAATATTAATTATTGCTGTTTTTTTACACATTTATCAATGAAAAATCATGATTTTTCTGCCATACTCCATATTTTCTGATCCTGTAACTTTGAGTGTATCTAAAACAACCAAAATTTTTGTAAAATGTTTGTCATAGTAATTTGTATGTTTGAAATTGCTAATCCTATTCTGATCCTACTCTTTCTCTAAGAGCAACTCCACCTTATTTCCTATGTTTCCTTATATTATATACTGTACCTAATCATGCTAAAGGAGTTGAGATCAGGCATCAGATCTGTAATATCACCTTATCTGTGCAGCCAGGTCATTTCAGTGGTCAGTGTATCCTAACAGATTCTAAATATCTGACAAAGAGGCAGATTGGAAAATGTACATTGTAGTTCTTTTTAGTGTAGCACATCCTCCAGCAAGGTAGAAAAGGATTTAGCTAAACAGGTAAGAGTAAAAGGTTATTATATCAAGCATCCCAAATAGCAGGATGTTTCCCAAAGATAATGATTTAACTTTTTAACAAACATCTATGTAGATATATGGAAGCATTAATTTTAAACTAGATTGAAAAAGATTTTTAATTATTTAACATTAGCATTGAAATGTATTACAGAGAAGTTGACAGACTTTACATCCTTTAAGTAACTCGTGAGTAATTCTCAGGAATTGTGTAAATTAGAGAAATACCATAAACAACAACCGTTACAGACAATTAGAAATCTTTAATTAATATTGTTCTAAAAAACTCTTAATGTGCTTCCTGATCATCATGGGTAGTTGATGAAGGAAAACCAGGTTAGCCATGGACAGCATATGGGGGGAGCAATGATGGTGTGTCTGTAAACATTGAAATTATATGGGTGGAAGGTTTTTTGACATAGAAATTATTCCAGTTTTGTTTAGTATGTGCACAGGTGAAAACGGGGACAGAAATACATGATCGATGATGAAAAAAGAGCAGCTAAGTTTAGTGTACTGTGAGGTTACCAGAGTTCAGACCATAAGTGATGATGTTGTTCACTTTTGAAAAATAAGCGCCTTAAAATCACTCAGTTTTGATCTCCCAAATCTGAAATTCAGTAACTATCTGAGAGAATAAACTGGCAAACATGTTTGGTTTGTGTAAGTGGAGAAATAAATGATGTAAAATGACAAGGAGGGTAGAGGAGCCATGAGCATGTTAGAGAAGAGGTGGGAACGCTCTCCCAAGCCAAATAGGCTGTTGGTGTCCTTTTGGAAAGTGTCTGTGCCTTTTACATCAACTCTCAGTACTTGCTGAGAGGAACTTGTTATTGAAAAGCATGGTAAAAATGTCTGTGTGCATTTTAGAAGGATGGAAAGGCAAGTTAATGATCTTATAAAATGCAGGGAACGTGGGTCTAAGTGCAGCTGAGTGAAGGGAGGAGAGCTGAAAGGTGAAACAGAGATGCCAGCTGATATCTTTATTTTGCCAAGTGATTAAGAAGTGATTGTGGGTTCCTTGTTTATCACATTGCAGTGTTTCCCATATCAGTTTATTGTTTCCAAAATCCAAAGGAAACTGTTTCTTTGACAGCTGCTCTCTCTGAGCCAGAGACGCAGGAATCAAAGGAGTTCCTCCCTTTTCATGCTGCTAAATAAAAATTCAGTGAGTTGGATTAGACCCAGAGTGCTCTGATCTGCTTGCTTTGTCTCTTTGTTTATACAACCCAACTCTCTGTTTTTGCTGTCCTGACCTCTACACTGACAGGAAAAGGGCTTCTGAAAAAAATTAGTACAGATAAAATTCCTGTCATTTGTTTCCAGTCAGTATTGCAGATTCTTTTTAATGCTATGAGCAGAAATGACTGAGTGATTTCAAAGATGTTTTTATAGTCTTAAAATACGTGATTTTTCTTAAAGAAGGAGGGTTGCTTGCACCACATATTGAACATATGTACTAATGGATTTTCTAAGGTGGAATTAGTGAAATCAAACCATTCTAACAAAAGACTTCTAATAACTTCTTGTCTGTCATGTGAAGCTGGTGTGCAGTTGTTATGAAAGTAGCTGCTTTACTTCTAAATTAGGCAGCCTGAAATAATGCAAATTAAAGCACTGGCTCACAAAATCAGAGTAGTTGAAGATGTGAGGTACTTTGGGAGGTCTGTAGTCTAACCCCCCTTCTCCATGGATGATCCAGGGGTGCAGGTTTCTCAGTACCATGTCCAGTTGTGTTCTGAATATTGCCAGGGATGGAGACTTTGCAGCTTGTCATGGCAATCTGTGCCAGTGTTTAATTACCTGCACAGTGAAAAAAGCAAGGAAACAGCAGACAGACCCAAAACACCCAAATAAGTTTAAGAGGAGTTTTGTGAAATTTAGTTTCTTCTCATTGTCTCTTGTGTTGTCACTATGGTAGCACTGAGAAGTCCTGGGCTCTGTCATCTTTATTTCTGTGAGACTTTTCTTCCCACGCTTGACAGTCTCACTTCAGAGAAATAACCACATCACCTAGCCTGTTGGCAATGTTCTCCCTAGTAGAATACAGTCCTAGGTGCAGATTGACCAGG